TAATATGCTAATTAGATGAGTATATTTACACCCCACATAAACTTTCGGTCATGCTCGACGTTTTTCTAATTTTCAGTAGATCTCTATCTTTAAGTCCTTTCAAGCCACAAGCTTTTGAAATCTTGATGTCAAAATCCAGCATTTTTCCAAAAATCCCTGGCGCCCAAAGGGTTAAACTCATCCATAATGAAGCAATTAAAAAAGTGCTCATAACTGTGATATCAAATGATACAAACTGAAAGTCTAAAATGAAAATTTAATTATTGTGAGCTACATATACACAGATTCACAGATTCAGTCCTATCAATATGTTATTTTTTTATCTCTTATAACAATTTGTTTGACCAAATTTTACATTTGTTTTGCATATATTTTCTTTTCTTACATTTTATATACAAAATATATTTATTTAAATTTGTATTAAGTTCTGTATCCTTCTGTCTCATAATGAACAAGTAGCCTATGTCTGTACATAAGACAATGCTTTGACTGACGTAAGATGGAGTCTGTTCACTACATCAACCCAGACTAAGTAAACTTTAGTATTGCCAGTTGGCAGCATTTATGTACCCAAAATCCCCCATATTTGATGTTGGTGCTTTCACAGTCAGTCTGGATAGTATAATGCTTTTTGTTTAACCGTTATCATCTTCCTTTCTGCCATTGTTTTGTATTGTACTGTATTATGTATTGGCATATTGTAAATGTAGGATCATGTATACTTTTTTCGTCTTTATTCTTCTCATACTGTGTAATAGTTTTATATGCAAGGCTGAACTACATCCTATGTTTCTGTTAAGAACTGATCAACAAGTACATGTTGCAACCAGAAACTGGGAAGTATGCTAATGCTTGAGCAAACAGAGAGGCAGATATATTTAGTAGTGATTTCTGTGTTCTGGACCACTTCTCATCTGACACTTGACTAGTAAGTGACATTTAATAAAAGACTATTTATCTCCACCCCAGACTCATTGTCTCTTCTTTCCTGATCCAACAAACTGCATGTTATGGCTGGGGGAATGCCCATTATTTAATTGTGGTGTTTGGCCAAACCATAGAAAATTAGGAGGATGTGTTAAGTTAGTGACTTAAGTTTTTTTTTTTTGGTGCATGTTTATAGTGCTTAAGTATAATCTCTCTATTTTCATTAAACAGAAAGGAAATTTACAAGGCGAAATATTCTGCATCAAATGTTCCTCCTCAGGACTGAGTGTTGATCACAGAGGCTTCACGACCGAAGTTAACATTGTAAGTCTCTCAGTTTGTTCTGTTTGAAATGTTAAATTGCTTTTACTAAATTATAGTGATGGCAAAATGAACATTTCTTTAGTCAAGAATACAATTATCTATTTTGTTCATTTACATTTCACACCTGTTCTTTGTTATTTAAAATGAAAGTATTAAAACAGTCAAATGTTATAAAATGTTGATTATATAAATATATTTTAGAATATAATTGAATAAACAAATGTGCACAGAATATGTATTATGTAAATAGTCTTAAATCACATCTGCATACACATTCTGGAGAAAGACAATGCTAGGTGAAAAAGCAGTACAAGTCGACCAGCATATGAACAGAGCTTAACGCACAGAAAATTCCAATCTTCAGCCAAAAAAGCCAGAGATGCTGTCAATGTGGCACCATGCCTAGTTTCAAATAAAGGGACAGTTGTGGAGACAGCACAAATTAGAGATTCTCAACAGAAGGAACCCCTCCAGCATTGTCAGTTTAGGCAGTTAACCCAAGATAAATGGGTCCAAAAACGAGAACATTCCGTCTATCAAATGGAAATTTGTGAGGAGAGGAAAACATGGTTACACCACAAACTAAAATAAATTATTTCAAAACGGTTGAGTGAAGATCTGTGGCAGGTAAAATAAGTATTGAACACATCACCATTTTTCTCAGTAAATATATTTCTAAAGGTGCTGTTGACATGAAATTTACTCCAGATGTTGGTAAAAATCCAAGTAATCCATACATACAAAGAAAGCAAAACAAATAAGTTCAGAAATAAAGTTCTGTGTAATGAAGTGGAATGACACAGGGAAAAAGTATTGAACACATGAA